ATGATTACGATTACGATTATGCATGAATGAATCTCAAGTGGGATTGCTCGCAGTGGGACTCGAGCCATAGGCCTGTATTTTTTTTTAACCAGCTTGAAGGAATTAATTATACCTACTTTTATTACCTCCATGGACTCAATGAATGATTTGAAAGGTATTTAATTGAATGTGTAGGATACCAGGCCGGGCTATTTTTAGAATAGCACATGTTCATGTTTACATTTTGTACGAAATCTAACAGTGTTAAAGTTTCAATGGCTTTTCAGGCGTGTTTGACTTCATAAAGTCTTGTTGGTCTGAGTTAAATACCTTTCAGTCATTCACTGTGTGCATGGAGGTATCAATAAAAGTAGGTTTACTTAATTCCTTCAAGCTGAATAAAAAATATAGGCTTTTGGCTTGACTCCCACTTGAAGATCATTCATACATAAACATAATCGCCCATTCTTCTCATCCACAGGGCTATATTGATGATTGTTCAATGGAAATACAATCATTAAAATCATTATTTTCCATCCTTTTTGAAAATTGAAAAGACCAGAACGCTCGACCATATTCACCGCTCCTCCAGTAATTTCGTAATTTCTTATAACTGGTTCGAGGGAAAGATTATCATCCTTTTGTGACGTCATCAAAATCTGACGTCATAACCTCCTCGAGTTGCTACGGATCTAGCCTTTCCCGCAAGGTGTCAGTGCCTAAACCAGTGCCTAAAGTGCCTTAACCTTTATTGGTTAATGGCGCACTTATGATATATCCTGCACTTTGACGGCGCGCTAAAGATACAGTGAGTTTAAAATATGTATAAGCTTGCTACATATTCCACTGACACAAAGATACACATAGGGCTAGCCATAACATTACTACGAGTATATGTGCACGCGTGTAATTATTACAATGGTGATGATAATAATAATAATAGAAATAATAGGAATGATGATAATGCTATACTAAAAATAATAATATTGGTAACAATACTACTACTACTAATAATACGTAATATTATCATCATTATTATTACCAATATCATTATTGTTGTTGTGGATTTGGTAATATTCTATATTACGTCCGCTGCTCCGATATCGACGATTTTGGTATCGTTGGATTCCTCTCACTCTTTAAAATGCAAATATGTAGTTTTTTTTTCGCGCGGAAACCCCCCGTTAGCGACAAACTTGGCCCCGATAGCAGGGGCGACAGCGTCGAATCGGCGGACGTAATATATAAAATTACCCTAATAATATAACCCCACAGTGAAAATAATCATGGTTATTCACATGGGGGGGGGGTGGCTGCCGCCCCCAACCCCCACTGAGGAAACAAAATCTCTACCACGTATTCACGGCAGGATAGAGCGCACATGAACTAGATGCGGAGCCGATAACCTACAATAACCTAGGACTTATAAGGTACTAACCTGATTGATAGATGCCGCTAATAGTAGGGAGGGTGCTCCTTTGCCGCAGAAGGTGAAGGAGGCAGGTTGTAATGTGGACAGTGAGAGGAATCCAACGATACCAAAATCAGCGATATCGGAGCGGCGGAGGTAATATAGAAAATTACCCATATCTCTGCCATTTCTTCCTGGCTGGTCGCTATTTCGCGCAGGAAGTCCGTCTCCGAGTACGAGCACCCTCCAAACTCGGCCATCGCGGCGGCTATGGCGAAGTGCTGAACGCGACGGTTTCGGTTGTTCCAGAGGACGGGAAACTCGACCCTGAGGCCATCGGTGTACCATCGAAAGAGGCGCAAAACCCGCGACGAGGGCGGGTCACCCTGTTCATCCTGATTATACTACAATCGTCTCTATATACATTGCTGACTATGCTAAGGTTAATATGCTGATTCATTGGGAATGTTATGAGGTAATTGTAATATTACGCCCGCCGCTCCGACATCGACGATGATTGTGTAACGCTCTAGCCTGCCGTGAATACGTGGTGGAGGTTTTGTTTCCTTGTTGGGGGTTGGGGGGCGGCAACCCCCCCTCCCCCGGGGGGGGGGGTCGCAGGGAGCGCAGCCCCCTGCAATGGAAAGTCATGTGAATAACCAGTTATTTTCACTGTGCAATATATTATCGGGGCTAAGTTTGTCGCTAACGGGGGCTTTCCGCGCAAAACTATAGTTTTGTAATGTGGACAGTGAGAGGAATCCAACGATACCAAAATCGTCGATATCGGACAGGCGGACGTAATATAGAAAATTACCGTGGTTCTTATTATCATATATGTGATGCAAGCCACAAATTCAAGACATACCTAGATATCCATTAAATTTTCGCGGCGCATTTGAGGGATGGTCGCGGAGCACGGGTTGAGAATCTCTGGCATAAACTATTGTTTTCTTTCTTTGGTAACCGAGTGAAAGAAAACGGAGCTTTGTGCACTGAGGGAGGTCTGTGGAAAATCTCTTCGGTTCATGGTTTGATCTTTCGTCAATACCCTCCTCTTCACTGGTGTGGAGAGATAGATAGATAGATAGAGATAGATAGATAGAGACA